AGACAAAGACTAAAAAGTAGAAAATAATAATCATTAAAAAAGTTTTAAAAAACCCACGTTTTCTGATTGAACTAAAAAGTAGAAAATAAATACTATACATACAATAATGCAAGCGATCACTCTACTATAAGCTATCAAAAACGTGGGGCGCCGTGATTTTCTTACAGTTTCTAATACTGTTGACTCTCTACAAGCTCCCTAATAAAAGTCAATAGTATTATCTAATCAATAGTAATATAACTTTTACTTCGGCGACCCACGTTTTTGATAGCTTATAGTAGAGTGATCGCTTGCATTATTGTATGTATAGTATTTATTTTCTACTTTTTAGTTCAATCAGAAAACGTGGGTTTTTTAAAACTTTTTTAATGATTATTATTATCCAATCACAACAATTGTTTCTACGCTATTAGTACTGCACACTAGTATAATGTATACTTGTTTTAAGCATCAACAATGATTTACTATGCCTCCAGTGTTTCTTCCAGACTTTTTTCTCCGGGGGGGGGGCACTTGAATTTTTCGGGGGGGGGGGGGGGGGATGGTAGACTTTTTTCGGGGGTGGGAGGGGGTGGACACTGTTAAAAGTATATATTTTCTTTATAAATTTCATTTCGTTCGGGGGGCGGCAGACTTTCTTCGGGGGGGGGGGGGGAGGGCGGAGCTTGTACTGTTATTAGCATTTATTATTGTTTTACGTTAATTTTCCGGCGAACTTGGCGCTCTTTTGATTTGTTTCATACAAAGGGAAACAACCGTGTAAAATATGGACATGACAGGGCCCCGGACTTATTTCCCAGTAACAAGGCACATTTTGATTTATGAGCCTACCTCAATTATATTCGCTTTTCTCTTCTTTTGAAATAATGGTTCTAATATTTGTTTATTTAAATGTTTATAAATTTATAAATTAACCCTGCTCGCAATATGACCCCAGGCATTTTTATAGCATTATATTTTGAAAACTATCAGGATTAGTGACCTCACCAGCCATGTATTTTTTCATAAGGCCTATCAAAGTACGTTACACGTGTTTGATACTTTCAAAGTATTACCCGTTATTTATTATTTAGATTTATGTTCGCTTGGGGTCATATAGACCCCATAGTACCGCCAATGTGATAAATATATTTTCCCATTAATATTCCGACACAAACAGCATATAGCACACATTCTCATCCAGGACTATGCTAGAGAGTGTTACAAGTGTCTGAGATCATTCGACAAGAAAAGCAAACTAGTCTGAAATTACTGTAATCATTTGGTGTGTGAAGAACATACACAGCTAGTACACAATCAATGCCAGCAATAACAATTTGCATATAGTGGTTAAAATAACAAAAGTTTGCTCATGGAACTGTGCAATATTTTTTGGACGTACTATCACATTGTCACCTCTTATTAGGTCAAGGTAAACAATAAATAATAATAGAGTGCAGTTATTCTGGTCAAAAAGCCTATCTTTCACCATGGGGTAAAACAGGTAAGACAACTTTAAATACTTCAAAAAAAAAGAAAATATAATGAGCCTGAAGGAACTGGATTATATAACCAATACTTTTTGGATTTGTCTTACAACCGAATAATTCCTCTTTCCTAAGCATGTACAGACTTCAAACTTTACACATATCTCACATTGAAGACACCTCCCATTTGGATACTTGCCCGAATGCGACAAATGCCCGAAAACCAATTGTCTGAAGGCCGTTTGCCGTATTTTAACATCAAATATTAACAAATAGTGATTCTTAATCTATTGAAATTTGGGAAATCGGCCTTCGGGAAAAAGGAATTGTGGAAAGTGTCTTTTGGGAATTCGTCGTAGACCCGTCAAAAGAAACAGGGGAGACAACCACTCGCGGTAACATTGTTAGAGTAGCTCCCCCTGTCTCAATGTTTATTGTGTTAAATTGTGAATAGGAGTTAAAAATGATCACTTGGAATCAGAACATGCATTAGAGTGGGCCAAATAAACAACGACTTGCTAATTTTGTTGCACTTTCTTGTGTTATTTACTATTCATTATCTAAAGCAGGGGTCTCCCATCCGGCCCGCGGAGATCTTTTTGTCCACGGGGAAAAAAAAGTTTCGAAAATGTAGCTTTGAGTGCAAATACCATTGCCTGCCGTTTTGCATACATTGGTTAAAACTGTTTGACTCAAATCGCAAAAAATGCAAGCGAGTTGCGCCATTTTGTAATTGCAATGGATGAGTCGCTGGACAGCTGTTCCACCTCTCAAATGCTTGTGTTCATTAGAGGTGTGAATGCAGACCTGAATATAACACAAGAACTGACTTCCCTACATAACATGTATGTCACTGTTAGCGGAGAGGATATATTCAATGAGTTTAAAATAACGCTAATTATAACTTGGACTGGACTAACCACAGTTATCTGACTGTTTAAGGAAGAAAGTACACGAGTGATATGCATAAAGACTTGGGCAAGCGAATGAGAAAAATATTCTACAACCAATGTTCCTGCATTTTATTATTCACCAGCAAACTTTGTGTGCTAAATATATGGAGATTAGCAGTGTACTGAATCCTGTGATGAAGATGGCAAATTTAATAAGGTCACATGTGCCAAACCATAGATAGTTTAGAGACATATAGAAATATACAAAAACAGAATCGCGAGATTTACAATATTTTTCACAGCTGTAGGATGGCTAAGTTGAGAGAAAGTTCTGAGCAGAGTATTTAAGTTTAGAAATTAAATAGGTGACTTCCTGGAAAGTAAAGGCAAGCCACAGCCATTAATGTCTGATGAACAGTGGGCATAGAAATTGATCTCTGCTGCAGACGTAACTAGTCATTTAAATTTTCTGAACCTAAAACTACAAGAGAGGGAAATCTAGTTTTTTTTTTTATCTATACACCCACCTATAGGCCTTCAGATCCGAACTTGTATTGTTTTTGGAACAAGTACAGACCAACAACTTGACACACTCTCAGCAGTGCAAGGCCTTTATGGCTGAGCAAACAATGAGTTCCCCACGTCATTTGCATGCGAAATCATCAAAGACCTCCAGCTGCAGCAGTTTCAGTGGCGGTTTTCTGATTTAGATTCAAAGTCGTAAGAAGTGAGACTGTTCTCATTTGAAGCAAATGTGGCCAGTTGCAAAAATGAACTGCAGCTGGAGGTCATTGATTTGCAAGCTAATGTCTTCCTTAGAGACACGTTCAAAGAAAGGCGGGTGGGTTTGATAAGTTTTTGCACAAGGGAGACTTTCCTATAATTAAAACTTTTCCATCAAAGTACCTTTCAAATTTCGGAACAACATACCAATGTGAACAAAAATTTCCAAGAATGAAATACGTGAAGAATAATTTAAGACCAAACTTGGACCTCGAGCGTGTTTTGTTTTTCCTGGGGGGGGGGGGGGGGGGGGGAAACAGGACGGGGGGGGGGGGACGACGACACTTGAAATTTATATATATTTGTATGTCTCATGGCACAGCGTGAAAAATATCAACTTTTTCACTAAATATCTTTTCTGAGACCACAGCGTTAAAAATATCAACTTCTTCACTAATTCCCTATATAGGGCCGAATGCTCTATGATCACCACTTGCGCTAAAATTGTATTTTCTAAAAATAAATGAATTTGTAATGATTATGCAACTGAAATTCAGTACAATCCAGTATCTAAAACGAAATCCACCACTGTATGTTATAAATCTATATGTGATCGTGTTTAGTTTAATCATGTATTGATAATGTAGGCTACTTCCTGTTTGAACGCCGAGGTTTGAATTAGCTGTGTTAGTGTTGTTATCAGTGTGTTTGCTGTTTTTGAAGTTGTCGACCTTTGCTTATCTTAGCCACACGCAAGTGGTGACGTCAAGTTCACACAGGCGAACTACGGGTTTCAATTACAACTAACAGTGACACGTGTTGACTTTATGGTTTTAGCTTAAGCTGTGTCAATAAATGACGTCACATTCATGACTGGGGTCGGAAATTGTGTGACGATTTGTGACTGGGGGAAAGAGGGTTGAGAATGTAGGGCGTCACAACTTCACATTTTAACTGAAGTCACAACTTAACATTTTAACCCTAGTCACATACTTCACATTTTAACCTATGTCACAACTTCACATTTTAGGCTAAAAAGTTATTTTTATATCCTAATTCTTAGTATGTATAACGTGTTTTAGAAAATTTGCATGAATATTAAATTTTATAAATTTACAATATCTTAAAACCCCGAACATAAGTGTATATCAAAGACACTAAACTAAAGAACAAATTACTAAATGCAGGTGCCGAGAGATGAACAGGGGGGGGGGTGAATGTGATTTGAGTGGTGGGCTAGGTAGGGCTGGCTTTGTATATATGTGTGTCCCGAAGATGGGACCCCCCCCTCCATATAACGAAATTGCTATTTACTAAATTAATTCAAGTAACTGACTGTTAGGTCTAGAATTTCAAATCGTTGACTAGACTGTATTCTATACCTATATACCCTATACTGATGTATCACAATAGTTTGCATTCACCGTCTTATTTGTATTTAAATAAGAATTTCTAAGACATCAGTAATTAGTGAATGGTTACAATTTTCGTTTTAATTACATGTCCGCCTATTATTGCAGTTGTATTTGGCGTGGTGCACTTTTTACAAACGAGAGTTGTAAAGTTAGAATAGACCCGCCTGTCCCTTTCTTTATATGAAAACTACAACATCACTCGCCTACACAGCGAGATGATTTTCGTATCACGACACTAAGAAATTTCATCAAACCAGAAACACATGGATTTTATCTCCACAAACACTTAGCACTACTCAACACAACACATCCTGGTCTAAATATTTTAAATTTATTTCTGTATTTATTTTATGTGCGTGACAGCAATACCATCGTTTGGAAAAGAATTCAAATTAGGAAATACGCGATTGTATTGTTCTACATGCATAAGAAAATGGGTTTATTCTTTTCTTCAACTATAACGCGTTTGTTACTGATTTTATCGTATTTGTGTATTATTCTAGGAATAAAAGATGCCGTTTCTAATAATAAATCGAAATCTAAGCTAACATGGAACTATCACGATGCAGAAGTAAAGTATACTTGTCCAGAACAATGCCGTTGCTATCTCGGTGATGAAGATCTAAAATTTGATTGCTACTGTTTTCCTAATTGTCCGCACTTGCCATCTAATACCTTGGAGTTACGTTTAAGGGATAATGATAGAGTAACTGTTAAGTGTGACGCTTTCGAAAACTTAAATAATCTGGAATCCTTGTATCTCTCCGACTTTACTGGCTTCGAAACGCGTGAGAAATATTTCCAGGTTCAGCGTTTTTCATTACGGAGCCTGGTGCTAGAAGAAAATATAATTGCAGAGCTTCCTGATAATCTGTTTACGAACCTACAAAACTTAGCATATCTGCAGCTAAGTTATAATCATCTGAAACGCTTGCAAGATGGCGTTTTCGAAGGTTTGGCCAATTTAAAAGAATTAAGAATAGAAGAAAATAAATGTGTAAACATTTCTAACAAATCTTTCACTGGACTTAATTCGCTCACTAATTTCAAGTTTGATTATTTTCTTCTACCTGAAGTCCAGCTTAAGGAAAACATTTCAGGAATTAATGCAACGACCAGTCAAACAGGAGGTATGAAAGATGAAATTAGCCAAGAGAAGAACAGGAACACCAAAGCACTTGTGAATTGGGTGGTGGAGAGGGGTGGAATGTAATTTGAGTGGTGGGTTAGGGAGAGCTGGTTTTGTATGATGAATGAAGGAGGGGTATTAGATATATGCGTGTCCAGCGTTATGGGACCACCCCCCCCCCCCCATATTATGAAATGGCTATTTACTAAATTAATTCAAGTAACTGACTGTTAGGTCTAGAATTTCAAAGCGTTGTCATACAATATTTCAGGAAACTAGACTGTATTCTTTACCTACATAACCTACACAGTTGTATCACAATAGTTTTCATTCACTGTCTTATTTGTATTTAAATAAATATTTCTAAGACATCAGTAATTAGTGAATGGTTAAAATTTTCTCAGTTCGTTTTAATTACGTATCCTCATATTATTGCAGTTACATTTGGCGTGGTGCACGTTTTACAAACGAGAGTTGTAAAGTTAAAATAGACCCGCCTGTCCCTTTCCTTATATGAAAACTACAACATCACTCTCCTACACAGCGAGATGATTTTCATATCACGACACGAAGAGATTTCTTCAAACCAGAAACACATGTATTTTCTCCACAAACTCTCAGCACTACTCAAAACAACACATCCTAGGCTAAATATTTTAAATTTACTTCTGTATTTATTTTTTTGTGCGTTACAGCAATACCATCGTTTGGAAAAGAATTTCAAATTAGGAAATACTTGATTGTATTGCTCTAACTGCATAAGAAAAGCGGATTATTCTTGTTTTCAACATTAATGCGTTTGTTATTGATTGTATCGTATGTTTGTATTATTCTAGAAATAAAAGATGCCATTTCTAATAATAAATCGAAATCTAAGCTAACATGGAACTATGCCGTTGCTATCTCGGGGATGAAGATCTAAAATTTGATTGCTATTGTTTTCCTAATTGGCCGCACCTGCCACCTAATACCGTGGAGTTACGTTTCAGCGTAACTATTAAGTGTGACGTTTTCGACATCTTAAATCATCTGGAATCTTTGTATCTCTCCGACTTTACTGGGTTTGACATGTTTGAGAAATATTTCCTGACTCAGCGTTTTTCATTACAGCGGCTTATGCGAAAATCAAATACAATTGCAGAACTTCCAGTTCATCTGTTTACGAACCTACAAAACTTAACATATCTGCAATTACGTTTTAATGATCTGACACCCTCGCATGATGGCACTTTCGCAGGTTTGGCAAACTTAAATAAGCGTACTAAAATTTGAAAACATTCTGACATAGGTTATTTTTCTGAATTTCCGTTTAAGAAAAATAGTTCAGGAATTTTTCCAACGAACAGGCAAACAGAAGGTATGATACATGAAATTAGTCACAAGAAAAGTGCCTCTTTTTCCAGCCCATGTTTCCAAAACATTTTCATCCCTCCACTATCTTTAAAAAAACAAAATTTCATCTAACTCGTCGTTCCCCACCCCTCCCCCCTCAAGCTGAAACAACATTGAAACTATGAAGCTGGAAACATTAATAGTAGCGTTTCATTTGCACACAGAAGTAAAAACATATCGATGAGATGAATTAACTTAACGCACCACAATTACTGTATTCATTTTTTCGCTTTTTTTTGTCAGCAGTAGTTTCACTAAAAGTACCACGATAATTTTGATTTTTTTCTGTTGCTAGAGCAAATATAGCGGAAGTGATCTCCCCTAAACTTTGTTATATATTCGTATATAACAGTAGGGGTAATTGCACTTTCAACGCAATTAAGCTTCAGAAAATAAGTTATGACAAAAAACGCTCTTTTTTTAGAAAACACATATAGGAGATTTTTTTAAAGAAAAATCTTTATTAGAATATGATCTCCCTTAAGACTGGGTGCTGCAGAACATACACTTTTTACTAGTTTTTTTTTTTAAAACTAACACCAAATGAATATGAAAAATGCGCGGTAAATAGTACTTTAAATAGGAAAATTTAATTTATTCATACAAGATAAATTAAGCATCCAATTAAGTTAATATTTGATGTCAGATTTCATTGTCATCATGTCTTGACCATCGTGCCTGTTTAAAACGAATCGGTCGGTTAGAAGTGCTCGAAATTTCGCTTGGCAGTTTTGATCTATGATTACTTACAAAGGTAGCAAGTCAAATAAAAGCTTGTAAAAACATTTGAATAACAAGCTTTTGTATAATTATGCACTAAAAACCAGAAAATAAACGATTTGCTTTAAATATAATAATAAGCTACTTTTTAAATAACTAGAAATAAAAATGCGGGTAGCTTCTTCAATTTTAGTAAATTATATGCATTCAATGCATAACAGCGTCCCACGCTTTTCTTTATAGTTATTTAAATAGTGGTTCATTGTCATACATTTAAGGGGATAGGCTCCCGAAAAAAACGGGGAAAAAACTTTTTAATTAAAAAGCCTTTTACATTTATTTGTGTATGTATAAGTTAGGGTACTTAAGTAAAAATATTTGGATGTACCAGGGACTCTTCTGAAAATATGGTTGCCATGGAAACGGCGGCCATCTTGGAAAAAACTACCAATGTGGAGTTCTAAAATTTCCTAAAGTAACATATAAACCGCCCATATAATCATTGATCTTTATTGTACTAACACCAATAGAGCCAGCTGGCTAATTTTTGTAACCGAAAAACAGCTAGACATATTTTTTTCAAATTTTCAAAAAAACATTTGGTGAAATTCCATTGAATTTAGCATTATTTTCATTGGAATTTCGTCAGAAGAGTCCCTGGTACATCCAAATATTTTTACTGAAGTACCCTAACTTATACATACACAAATAAATGTAAAAGGCTTTTTAATTAAAAAGTTTTTCCCCCGTTTTTTTCGGGAGCCAAAAGAAGGATCAATGGTTTTATAGCCGATATTTATGTTAGTTTATGAAATTTTAGAACTCCAGAAAAGGATGTTTTTTTCAAGATGGCCGCCGTTGCCATGACAACCATATTTTCAAAAGAGTCCCTGATGCATGTAAATATTTTCCTACAAGTACCCTAACTTAGATATGCACAAATGAATCAATAAAAGCTTTTAATTAAGAAGTTGGTTTTTTCTGGAGCTTACCTCCTTAGAAAAACATTTTTTAGTGCATAACTTATATAAAAACTAGTTATTAAAAAAATCTCATTGAAAATATCCAGGTACATTAAAAATTTTAATACAATAGAGTTGCATAACTAAAAGCAATTGCGGACCGAATGAACAGAACAAATGTGTGTACAATAATACTTTATGTAAGAAACATTAATTAATTCTTTAAAAATTAAGTTGGCATCCAATTAAGTCAAACTTGATGTTATATTGCATTGTCATCTAGTCTTAACCCACGGGCCAATTTTGAAACGATTCGGTCAGTTATAAATGGTTGAAATATATAATAATACACTACTATCTAAACTATAATAAAGAAAAGCGAAGGTCAATATATTTTCTATAGCGAACGGCTTTCTATGGGGCGCCGACTGGTATACTAAACCTTAGTAATGAGAAACAAAACATTAATATTTGGAAGAATATCTGAAATTTGGCTTTACTAACATCACTGGAAATGAAATAGTGAATAATCAAAGCGCACTGTACAAAGTTGTTCTCAGTCACGAGTTTGTGAAATCTTAAAAACTAAAACGTCATTTAAGACGAGTCATTCGGAAAACCAAAAAAAGATATGGAGTTTTTTCGTTACAATAAAGCTAGTTGTGAACGTCAGAGACTTGATCGAACAGGAAGTTTTCACCAAGGAAACACAGCATTAGTGCAAGCATCAAATGAAGTCGCGCTAGAAATTGCCAAGCAAAAATAACACAATAGGAGAAAATCTCATCACCTCTGCATATTGAAGATGGTGAAGTTAATTCTTGGGGATTCCAGTGCAGTAAAGATGCAACAAAATATCTCTGCCTAATAATACTATTTAGCGGCTTATATCAGACATGTCCGTAGATGTTAAATAACAAATTTTAATGAAATCAAGCGTTCACCACTGCATGATTTACCAGTATGCCCTCGCCATCAAGACGCCTCCGACTCCATTGCTAGAAACAATCGTACATTATATTTAATCTGGAGCATTCAAAGAACTGAGCAAAGGCATTAATAAAGATCACGAGGTTCTGCTTTTCTACACTACATTACGCTGGCAGTTAAAAGAATTGTTGTGAATCGCATTTTTTAATTGAAATCTGAAATCAAATTGTTCTTGGAAGAGCAAAGCAAAAAAAATACCTTTCAGTATACTTAAAACGACATAGATTGGTTGGAGAGAGTATCATACCTAACAGATATATTCGAACATCAACATAAGCTTAACCTGAAGCTTCAGGGAAAATGAACGAATATTATCACTTTCGATGAAAATCTCGGGGCATTTTTATCAAAGCTGCAAAATTGGCAAAGAAAATAAATCTTGGAAATATTGTAAATTTGAGAAACTCTACAGTGTGGTAGATGGATCTGATTGTGAGATAATTAAAATTTTGAAAGAAGCGATTTCTGGGCATGTTGAATCTCTTGAAAACGAACTGCGGCGCTATTTCTCTGAGCTGATAGAAGAAGAATCTGCATTGACGCATTACCCATTCTCTACTTCCCTTGATGTTGCCAGCATTCCCGATGAATTACAAGATGAATTATTTGATTTGCAGAATGATTCCGCGTAAGATGAAAAACTACACACACAATTTTGGTGTTGTATTCACCATTCATACCCAAACGTAAAATTGATTGACTTTTCGAGAATAGATTTTTAACACTATTCTCCGATAAAAAACCAAAATAAGAAATAAATTGAATGTTGATAATGACATTAACATTCATTGCCGTTAACAATAATTAAACCGTGAATGTTTACTAAATAGCATGCAATTTTACTCAAATTATTAAAATAGTTATCAAGAGTATTTCATATTGAATGCCTTCTAGAAAATCTTATTTTAGTGCTTATTAATTTCCATACTAATTTCGGCTTTTTAATTTTATGGGGGTCGCGGGTAACTTACTTTTTATAAAAGGGGGTCGCCACTCGAAAATGTTTGGGAACCACTGATCTATAAGATACCTTTACTAATCTTTTGTAAGAGACCCCGCTTTTCTTTATAGAAATTTAAATAATAGTGTATCATTTAAAAAAATATAAACAAACTTCTGTTTAGAGCAATTCTGCTTAGATCTGTTAGAAGTTTGTTAAGAATGATCTAAATGGTTAATCAAATTTATTTAGAATGTCCTCTGGATAATCTATAATATTTAAATTTTTTTCGGGCAAACGGCCTGCGGGCAAGTGGCTTTCGGGCATTTTTCGCATTCGGGCAAGTGTCCAAATGATTTCAATCTCCTACAATTGGAAAAAAAATTATATAAAAAGCTTAAACTTTAACAGTATTATTCTAGATATTGCAGTATGCATTAGCTATCGAACCTACTGTAGTTGCAGATTGAATTCAGAACCAGTAAAGCCTTAAAGTCCAATTAATATTTTACATTCCAGATTCAACCAATTACAACAAGAGCGCCCCTTGTTTCTGTTTACCCGACAAGGCGCTGTCAGTGTTGACAAACTTGAGAGAGCTATCAATACCCGGTACTAACTGTAAATTGGGTCCCGGATTTCGAAAGCTAAAACGTCTTCAAACAATAATCTTCGACGAAAACAACCATTGCTTTCTGACTCACTTATGTGATAATTATTTTGAAAACATACAATCAGAGCAAAATATATCTATTTCGTTGGCAGGCTGCCCACTCTCAAGCTTCACCAACACATCTTTTGTGATGGGATCAACGTTGTCAGGGCTGAACCTTGATGAAACACAACTAACTTTAGAACAAATTTTTGACTCATTCCAACAGTTCAAAAACGTGCAGGAGTTTTCGATAGAAAAAGTGACTCAGGAATCATCTTACACGGTTTCTTTAGAAGATGTTTTGGAATTATTTATGGAAACTCAAATAAAAAATTTATCAATTGCTGGAAATAAAGTTATGTTCGATCAAGACACTAAATATTTAAGAGTCCCTCCAACGTTGAAAACACTGATTACAGATGCCTATAAGTATCTTGTAAATAACTTCGTTAATGCCCTGAGATATTCGCCAGAAAACTCGCTCACAAGATTACATTTTAAAAGACTACCCTGGAAACAGAATGTTGTATTGTAAGTAATACATGGTAAACTATATATTCATCCTCTTCTTACACACCTATCTGTTTTATTGTTTATAGTAAAAAATATTTCTTACAGATTACAACAGAACAAGACTAAAGAAAACCAAGTTTATTCTAAGTTTAATGGATTATCTAATTTGAAAGAGTTGTACGTTTCTTACAATAGCCTAGGTTCTAACACATTTGAAGGGATGAAAAATCTTCGTGTTCTAGAACTGTCAGGCTCTAGCGGTAATAGACTATGTGGATCCGATTTAGACGACGGCTGGCTAAGAACAGATTTGGCGAAGCTCGAAGAACTAAGGATGAATGATTGTAAAATAGATTTTATATCAAGCACATTTTATTTTCCGAAAAATCTTAAAAGATTATATTTAAGTAAAAATCGATTGACGTTTTTCGAGGCATACACACTAAGACATTTGAACATGACATATTTAGATTTGTCATCTAACCGTTTACCTGGTCTATCGGATGAAATGCGTGAAGAGCTAAAGAGATTAAAATTTGATAATCCACAATTTCTAGTAGATTTATCTAATAATAAGTTTCAATTTATCTGCACGTACGTTCAAAGTCTGCATTTCTTGGTGACCAACACACAATTGTTTGAGACCGTAGACGAAATGATGTTCAGAAAGGAAGACAATACTTATTTAAACTACATGGAGATGGTTGCACAACTTCCAAGACTGACACAAAACTGTCAGATAAAAGAAATCTTCAGCTTTGTGTTGACGATATTTTTCATCCACCTCATGTGTTTGCTTGTTCTGGCCGTGTTTTTCCATTACCGCTGGAAGCTGAGGTACCTCTACTTTATTGGTCAACGGAGGCTGCACATCGGTGGACGTTTAGTCAACTACAACCCACAGGTTGATGTCTTCATTACCTATGATGAGGTAAAATGCATGTAAAATTAATTCCTCAGATAAATTTACTTATTATTAAAACTAAATAAAAATGTAAATTGTTTCAAATTTACATTAATTCAAATAAATTTGTATAGCTACTTAAATTAAATGATTCGTTAATTACGCATGATTTAATACTTTTAAAAATAAATTTACAATAATATATTTACACTAGTTGCGCATTATGTGTGAAACACCTAATGAGTTGTTTTTCATTCAATATTTTATTAATTCCTTAGGGTGAGCCTAGAATCCGACAGATTGTAGGAAATATGATCATACCATTCATGAGAGAGAAGAACATCTCTTACATTTTAGGAGAAGTGGACTTTCCAGGTGGGGACATGGTGTCACACATCAGTGGAGCTATAACTGGCACAAGAAAAACGCTGGTCTTGTTGTCTGAAGATCTTTTCTTGGATCACTACCGAGAGTATGAGATGAACCTGGCCATCATGCGAGAGTTCAATGTACGAGGTCAGGTTATCGTTCCTGTCTTTGTTGAGAGGGTCGACTTGAATACATACCCACCTGAAGTAGAAACTTATTTAAGGAATCAGCTGTACAGGTGTCTGGTCTACAGAAATAACCAGACTTTCTGGACACTTCTGGGTCATGCTATTAGAAATGATAAGTAGTTTGATATCTATTCCTAATCTGATTGCTATATATTAAAACTTGATTTGTTTTTGCAATGAATCTTTATGTATAGCTTTTGCAGAGTAGTTTTAAAATGATGAAATTCACCACTTGTTTTGTTAACAATAAATTATGAGAGAATGTAAGTTTAACCATATCTATCGAAAAACTAACACTGTCTGTTTTGGTTACTAATTGTCTACCGAATACAATGTTACCATTCGTACGTTTTATTCAGCTTCAACAATTTAGTAGAGCAAAATTGGTCAAGAACAATGTTTTTGTTTTAGTTTTGAATCCGCTTCCAATTATAAAATCATAATGCATGTAGTTTATTTTTCTTAACTTTATATATATAACGATTTTGTATGTACGTTTATTTTCTACTTATTTTCTTCGCGGTTGTTCTGTCGAGCTTTCTTTTTTCAAACATTTTTCTCCTAATATTACTTTTTTGTGTTCTTTGTTTGACAATGTATGTTTAAAGAATTATATGTGTTACATTTTTTTCTGTAAAATTATTGGAATATCTTTTTGCACGAAGAGGTTATATGTTTTATTTAGATACCTTGATTTATCATCTTTAATGATTCAAGATTATAGAATGAGTGCTTCACAAATCAAGTAATTTTACTCAATATGCCTCTACCTCCCTTTTCTCCCATTTATTTAATAAAGCGGTAATTTTAAGTTTTGCCTATTGGTAAATATACCCACAGGGAATAGGCAATGACTCCTGTCAATATCTCCCGTCTGTTTTAATTACTCCCGATTCTTTACTGCCTACCAACCCGTTGATTACGAACAGAAAAAAAATGGTTTAAACTATTACAATAAATAAATATAGATTATTTTACAGTTAATTTAATGTAAATACTAATATAAACAACAGGGACGCTATACAGTGGAGTCTGGACGTGAGAGATAAAAAATTGTTTGAAGTGTCAAAATCAACAAAACAACTTGTGCTCTTGAATGCAATTTTTAAGCAGGGCCTACTCAACAGATGTTAATGTTTCGCGAGACAAGTGGGAAATCTTGAAACCACTCAGCCTGAACATTATGATAAGAACAGAATTACGTTTAGCGTGTTTAATACATTTTCTGAAACCGGGAGTAATCTCCCCTAAACTTTATCGAATATTCTTATATAATACTAACGGGGATGGAAACTCGGGATATAGACATGCTTTTTAATCAATTTTTAATTAATTAAAATTTTTAAATAGAATATCATCTCGTAGAAAAAAGAATTGCGCACCAAGTGAACGCCATACAAACTGTGAATAATAGTGCGGAATATTATTAGTATTTTATATATTCATACATATTTTTTTGAGAAATCGGAAATAGCGTAGACTACTACTTCCGGTCAAGAGAAATTACTCAAAATTTGATAGAAGGCAGAAAATTAGATCTTTTACTTATATATGCCGTGTATGTTATGTATCTGAAACAATACTCAAGTTATAGGCTTTTGAAAAACTAAAAGTGCCACTTTCGGTGATCGGAAATCGCTGATAAGTTGACTACAAATTTGATATAATACTATAATATGAAATTTTATCAACCTACTGTAACGGTACTCAAATTAACACGTTCACAGACATACACACACACACAAACATATGGACAGAATTGCAAAGCCCAGTTTTCTGACTTGATTACGCATAGAACACCCACATTTTGATACATCTACATTTATTATTTTTGCCCGATTAAAATAAGCCCCCCCCCCCATACTCCGTATAGTACTGAGGTGTAAAACGATGAAAACTGTCAACATTTCATGTGATTTTTGTGCACGATTACCATACTTCCTCTATAATCTGTAAACAAGAAATTAGAAAGAATCAATGAGAAAGAGTATACATTTTCTTCTGTGTCACATCTATCAAGTGATCTGCATGCTAAGTAAAAACATTTTACAGCGTGATGTTTTCAAATTGACAAATCTAGATTTCGGTTTTTTTACTTCCTCTCTGCCAGTGCTTTTGTCCATAAAGGTTATGATCTTTTTTATGAGACAAACTCAAAATGCAAGATTTTTGTCATGATAGTAACAGCAAGTTTAGAATGTTTTAAAATGCTCCAGCAAACTTAATTGATGAGAAGATTAAGCAACGTTGGATATTATAGTTTGATGTTTTAGAATTTAAAAAAATGTTGCATAACACTTGCTACGCCATTTGTAAAATTGTTGAAAAAGAAATTGTAATTCAAATGCATTTATTAAATAAACAATATGTATATGATTTCGTTTTATTACTCATGAAGGCGAATTTGCATAATGTAAACTGATAGATAAATATGCTTGGGTATCAAGAGATAGTATTAACAAAAGTCCGTCAAGAAAATTAACAAAAGCGACCCTATATACAAAAATAATGTCAAAGATTTAAGACCTAAAAGTTTTTATTGAAAAACATTTAAAATTAGTTAATATAATCAACTGTATTTTCCTAATTCAAAATTAATAGTACATCATTTAAAAAAAAACTATGGCTATATTATTTAATAAAATAAAAAAAAAAAACTAAGGTTCACCCAACTACAGTCGAAATGTGTTAGCTTAAAACAGAACAGATGTCCATAAAACCAATAAAAATATTCAAAATGTGTATGTTGGGTTAAAATGCATTCGGGAATAAACAAAGCCTAGATACGACTGTTTTATCAAGACTAGAGTACTTTTTGTATGCTGATGTTGCCGGCGTCATTGAATTTTAGCCAGAACACCAACTTTAATAATCTTAACCTAAGTCTTATTTAACCTTAACTTGAGACTTGCTTTTTTTTTTAAACATCAGACTCTATCGTATGCGATACATTAAAGAATTGCATACTTTATCTAATAATAGCTTCACAAATAAATAAGCTGAACTAATATGTCGGAAAGTTGTTTTTTTTATTTTAATTTTAATTGTAACTTAAGGGACGGTGTGGTCGAATGATAGAGCGTTAGGCTACCAGCCTGAAATTCTCAAGATTGGATATCTTTCCTATGTATCTCTAGGTCTAAAATGCGGTACAGGAAGATATTGATACTGTAACAACATCAACTTCATTGTTGTTAATGTGGGTACGTTTAATAAACTCACACGAGCAATAGTAGTAGCTTCAACTATAGCTTTATTTACACTTTATACAGAGAATTAATAGATCCATAGTAAATCCATAGTCACAACTGGTATAAGTACAATCACAGTCACGAATCAAAGTGTCGTAGTGACATCCTACATTCAAAGTCACAGTCCAAGCACAAGCACCCCGTTCACCTTTCGCTCTACCTTTTATACGGTCCATTCTCTCCCCTTACGTACATGAGCGATCTCACCCTAAAGAATGGGAAAATACAAGACGAGTCGCTCAGACAGTCCTTCAGCTAGCCAGGTACTCTACATTCATGCAACTTCTTGTAAAACAATATAATATAAACATACCTAATTATACAGTCTGTGACAGATACAAACAATAAAAACTAAATCCTGTAAGTACTATATAGCTTGGTAGTTTATTTATTGGTCTTAGTTTTAGAGTTTCCTTAATAGGAATTATTTTTTTTAATTATACATATTCATCCTACAGTATTAAGAACATAATGCCATACTAAAAATGTGTATTAAATTTGAATGAAATGAATTTTACAAAAAGATCGCACAATTATTTACTACACAGCAACACAGAAACACAAACAGTTTAAAACACAGATTAACACAGTCTCACACAATCCACAGGCCCACAGATCATCGCAAACACAAACAACGTAGCGCACAAATCATCCCATCAATCGTCGATCTACACTGAAAAATTTATATTGATAAGGGAAAAATCTTATTTTTATTTTTTTTAAATTTTTTAGTAATATTACCAAAAAATATAATAAAGCTTTTGTAGTAGAAATTGTTAACCCATTAAAATAATAAACTGTTTTTTTTGCCTGCATTGATCCTTTGTTCTTTAAAAAATGTTAGCCCTTCAGTAAAATAAAAGTAGTTTCTTTACAAATGCTTATTTTGATGCTCACATTCTTTAAAGCTAAAAAACATTTTAAATGTAATGTTCAATGTTATTTTTTAATGAAAAAAAATTACTTAAACCTTATCTTTTCTTTTTCTTTTCATCGAAGATTGAACAACGGGCAGTTTTTCTAATCGAAAAAAATCTTTTAAATATTACAATGGTTTATTCTTTTTACAAGCTTTTATTACAAGATTTTATTTAACTCAATTCCTCTATCGTCATTTGTCTAGATCGAAACGCTCGAGCGAAAATTCGGACACTTCTACTTGACCGATACGATTCACAGTTGGTACGTGGGTCAAGACATGAAGACAATGCAATCTGAAACTAAATTTGACTTACTTGGATGCCTAATTAATTTTTTATGAATTAATTAAAATTTGGACCGAATTAGTAGGCATGTCTATCCAACCACACCACACGCGTCATCACGTTCAATAGCTGCGCCATCAGGTTTAATAGCTGCGCCTTTACGTTCAATAGACGCGCAATGGTTTTTTGTCATGTAACACTATTGTAAATAAAACATGTAAAGTAGGCCTACTGAAATTTTTATAGTAATTTAAATAGTAGTGTATAATTTATTTTCTACTTTTTAGTGCATCATGACACAAAAGCTTGTTATTAAAACGTTTTTTATGAATTTTTTATATTTTGTTTTCATGAAATGTGCGTGACAGCTTCACCAACGCCTGAAGAAAAAAAATACATTAAAAAAGTTTTAATTACAAGCTTTTATAAAATAATGCACTAAGAAGTAAAAAAAAGTATACACTACTATTTAAATAACTATAAAGAAAAGCGTGGGTCACTTTAATATTTATTGGATAACTTTACTAAAATTTAGAAAGCGACAAACGCTTTTCTTTATAGTTATTTAAATAGTAGTGTTTAATTTATTTTCTACTTTTTGGTGCATTATTACATAAAAGCTTGTTATTAAAAAATGTTTTTAATTAAAACTTTTCAGCACTTT